AAAAAAAAAAAAAAAAAAAAAAAAAGGGGGAGAGATTTTGGATTCTTCATTGATTATATTCAGTCATTGTTGGGCAGTTGACTTCCTGTTGTACCAATCGGGTAGGCATGATATTCAGCACTAAAGTGGATAGATTCACCAGACGCTGTGAGAGATGCTTCTGAGAAAAGTTATTTGTTATAGTGGTATAATGAAAGCTACTGGTGTTTTATTAGGATTTCACAAAAACAGTGTTATTCTCGCTTGCAGATATAACTGTCTACAGCAGCGGTTCTCAACCTGTGGGTCGCGATCCACCAGAACTGTATTAAAGGGCTGCAGCAGTAGGAAGGTTGAGAATCGCTGGTCTATGTGCTTTTATGACTGTCTTAAAAGAATGGTAACATAATGTCTGCCAGGAAAATAATGGTGACAGATAGCTCCATCTGAAATCTGAACTGTTTTGGCTTTGTCCTCCAAAAGACTTTTATTTTCATGTATCTTAATTAAAAACTAGAGTTTCAATTTGGTAATCCAAAGCATAGGCCAGCTTTTTTTAAAGTGATGTTGTTACCATTACAATCCACCAATGAAAAACAAAATACCAAATTCCAAGCTGCTGGACACTGAGAAAACAAGCAGATGAGATGAATTTGATAGAAAGGACTACAGTTAGGCTTGAGGTCATCTTTAGCCAGGATTCCACTGCCTGAAGCTCAATAATCTGAATCTGTTTTAATCTGAGCATGTCAGGGAACAGCTAAATGCCCACACTGGGGCATAATTTAAGCTGTCAGGCTTCTCCTGTCAGATACAGGAGGGTGCCAAAAAAAATGTACACCTTTTAAGGAAGGACAAAACAGTATCAAATTTGTAATACTCAAGTCATGTTGACTTCTGCAAACACAAGAGGTGCTCAGGATGACTTGCATTTATCTTTCATTATCAACATATATTGAGTATTATAATTTTAATACAGTTTTTCTTCCTTTCTTAAAATGCTTATACCTTTTTGGCACCCTCTATACATACAGTCATCTGGTATTAAGCAAAAGGATAGTCACTCTTGCTTCTTTATATCCCTAATTCCCAATGTGTCATTGTAATGCCTGGTGACCACATAAGAAATATTTAGTGATGAGAATATAACTTTAAGCAAGGCCGTATGCTGTCCTCAGAATTACAAGTGAGTTAGTGAGTACCTAGGCCCAGGACCATAGGAATACATTACAGTCTTGCCTAAGAAACTACAAATGTTGGAAAGACCGAATTTCTTCCTTGGAGCCATCAGCTGGTGTGATGTAACATACATCTAATTCTTCCTTGTTCCTCTCTGGTCTGTTCTCTCCATCTCTGTACATGCTCCATCCACCTGTCTCCCTCCTCAGCTTTGTTCATCTTTCTTTGTCTTTGTGCAGGTGTTGGGAGTCCCTACAGAAGATACCTGGCCTGGAGTCTCCAAGCTACCTAACTACAATCCAGGTAATATTGATCTAAGTTTCTGAATGCGCTAAGAATTAGTAAAGTAAGGAAAACATTGGCTACACTAACAGGGTATTGTGAAATTAACAGCAAAAATAGGTGGAGATAAATTACCAGTTTCATATATTCCCTAATCTTTGCATGAGGTCTGACAATTAAGTTCATAACTCGCCACCATGTATCTATATTGGCAGCTTTGTACAGACAGCTCAGTGAGGTTTCATAACCTTCATATATCCGTGTTCATGTTGACATGTGGTGGTGTTCCGCAGAGCGGCATTCATTATTATTGTTGTGTGTTTTTGTGTGCCCTCGGAGACAATATTGAAGCTTGAATGAGAGCAACAAGCAAACATTTGTAAATTTCTTGTTAAACTTGGCAAGAGTGGAAGTGAAATCAGGGACATGTTAATCCAAGTTTGTGATTTAAAGCCATGAAGAAAATGGCAGTTTACAAAGGGATTAAACATTTTTCTGAGGGGAGAGAAAATATTACTGATGAAGAAAGGTCAGGGCAGCCAGTAACAAACAGAACTGACAAAAACATTGCACAATTTGTCAGATCATGCGTCAGATTCATCGGCTGACTGTGAGAAGCATAGCAGACTAAGTAAACATCAACAGAGAAACTGGAAAATCTTAACTGAAAATCTTGGCCAACAACTCATGGCCATTACATCAAGACAGTGCTCCAGCTTACACAGTGTTGTTTATGAGGGAGTTTTTAACCAGTAAACAAATATTGGAACACTCTCTCTACTCACCTGATCTGGCCCCCAATGACTTCTTTCTTTACATCTGAAGATAGAAGAAATATTGAAAGGAAGACATTTTGATGGCCATTTCAGGACATCAAGGGTAATATGACAACAGCTTTAATGTCCATTCCAGAAAAAGAGTTCCAAAATTGCTTTGAATGGTGAACTAGGCACTGCCATCAGTGTCCAGCTTCCCAAGGGGAGGACTTCAAAAGTGACCATAGTGATATTCAGCAGTGAGGTATGCAGCACTTTTTCTAAGGTGAGTTCAAGAACTTAATTGCCAGATCTTGTATTAAGAGGACATTGAAATACTAACTAAGGTTGGGTTAGTTCCCCAACTCTATAAATCATAACCATGAATCCAAAGAGAATTTGAAATAACTGTTACTGTGGATTCCATATTTATTTTCAAGCACCTACTAGCTTAACAGAATAACTCAAAAGAATGATCTCACTTTTGAGCCCAGTAACTATTATGAATTTTTTCCTAGATCACTTAACCTCATAAAGTATCAACAGAAAAGCTGGCTGGGTACAGTGATGAGCACCTGTATCCCCAGCTACTTGGGATGCTGAGTTGGGAGCACAGCTTGAGCCCAAGAGTTCAAGCCAGTCTAGGGAATGTAATGAGAACCTGTCTCTTAAAAAAAAAAAAATTAAGAAAAATAAAAAGAAAGAAAGCTAATGCAACAGAGGGGAGGTAGAGACTTGCTAGGTAGGACGGACCAGGTAAGATATCTTTGGATTATACTTACCAAGAGTTCATCTGCTGCCTCAAGACCTGACAGTGATTTTCTGTCATGTTTAGTCCTCCAAGACTGGTTCACGGGGGTGGATTTGAAAAGGTTGGGGGTGTTGTCCATGGTGGAACTCTTGGAGAAGTTGCCACCAGAGGGATCATATTACTCAGTAGTTGCTTAAGGGCATTGAAACTTAGGAGAGAGGAGACAAGCAATGAGCTGCACACGGAGATGTCCAACCTTTTTTTTCTATGCTGCACATTGGAAGAATAAAAGTTGTCTTGGAGCACACATCAAATACACGAGCACTAATGCAAGCTGATTAGCAAAAAAAAGGTCTGTGCATACTTTTCATGATATCTGACACCATAGGAAAGCAAAAAATGTCCTCACAAGATCAGCATGCAGCCCAGGGCAGCAAATTGGACACCCCCGATGGGATGAAGGACCAAATTAGAAGATGAAGATGCAAATAAAGGCGGTGCCAAAGCCAGACTCTCACTGGCAGGATTAAAGGGAACGTAGATGGGTGTAGATATAGATGAGATAGATTAGGGTGAACGTGCTCCAGGCCAGATTGTCTAATCTTCATAGTCTTACCTTGTCTCATCACTAAAAAATGACATTCCCAAATTGCTGTCATTGCTAACTTTGAAATGAGATTATCCTGGAAGGGTTTCGTGAAGGCTAGAAATCATAGGGAGATTAAAAAGGTGATTAAATCCTAACATAATTAATGCTATTTTAAACAAAGGTGATTAAGAAGGAAATAAAAGACACAGAGAGCTGGGACTTTTCCTTCTTTTCTCCAGCATCAAAATACTTTTGCTCAGTAATCCCAACACTCGGGGAGGACGAGGTGGGCAGATCGCCTGAGCTCACAAGTTCGAGACCAGCCTGAGCTAGAGCTAGATCCTGTCTCTAAAAATAGCTGGGCATTGTGGTGGCCACCTGTAGTCCCAGCTAATCGGGAGGCTGAGGCAAGAGAATAACTTGAGCCCAAGAGTTTGAGGTTGCTGTGAGCTAGGGTGCCATAGCACTCTACCTAGGGCGACAAAGTGAGACTCGGTCCAAAAAAATAAATAAATACATACTTTTGCTCCAACAGCTCTCCACAAGGATCAGGTATCTCAAACCAGCCAGGATTATGAAATCCTTACAGAGAGCTAAAGACTAACTGTAAGATCCTTTCAGCTGCTTTGTGAATGGTCCTCTTCATTACTAAATGGCCTTAGAGTTATTTATAAATAGTTTATGATTTGTAACTATTTTGCTATAGTTTAGCACCTGAGAAAAATGCCCCAGGGCATTAGAGTAGTGCCTGCTTCCACTGGTCTGAGACAGGAAGAAGAGCACGCTTCTGTGGAAACTGTGTTCCAGTCAGTGGCTCCTGTCTCCAGCTGCTGTGGTTTCTAGGAGAACCCGGTTCTCCCACCCTGCCTGTGTTCTCCCTGTCCATTCTGCTCCTCTTTATCCCTCAGCTTCATAATATGGATGTCACCAGAAGTTTAGGGTCCCACATGGGTCATAGGAAACAATTTGCATGACGTCAATACAAATCTGCCTTAGTGAGCTTATGCTGCTCCTCAGACTTCAGACATTTGGGTTTCAGATTGCTCCGGCCAATAAAGTGATCCTTAACATAGAAGGTCTTGGTGAGAAAGTGATAACAGAAACTTGGCCAAAGTGCTTCCCTGCCAGATTCTGTGCTAAACAAGATAACTGTGTTCCAATCAAACAGAGCGAAATAGATCACATTTCTATTTTGCCATCATTTCAAAATAATGTGCAATTTTTCTATTTATGAAGAAAATTCTCCAGGCCTAACATTAAAAGGGCTCATATTCTGCATTGTTTTTTATTCTTGTAAAAATTCAGTTTAATTTAAATAAGTCGAGAATGTTCAAGCACCTACTATCTGCCAGGCTCTGTGGCATGTGCTGGAGCTGAGTGGATGGACACGGCACATTCTTGGATCTCTAGAGTTGGGGTTTATGTTCATTCACCCACACTCTTTCACCAGTGCTCCCTGTTCTCCCTGCTCCTGGGGTGCTCTTCTGTGAGGCCAGCTTTCACAGGTGTGGGAAGCATGTGACTGAGCTTATGGAAGGAAGGGAGCTATAACCTTGGCCATAGCCAAGATGTCTAACTCTGCATTTGGAAATCTTAGAAGCCCAGCATATCTTGTGTGCGCGGGATCAGCACTATTGATAACTCAGTCCTAAGGACTGTGTTTTAAAAGGGTCATCAACCTCTGTGCTCCGGGAACATCTTCTTATGTGGACATAAGTCTCTTTTGAGCCATTTTCCATCCCATACCCCTGCCCAAGCTGCTACTGCTGCTGCTTCCGCACACGTGACCCCAATAATTAAGTGATACGGAAGATGCGATGGGAACCAAAAAATGTCCCAGATGAGAACTGTTGTCAACACCATTCTGGATAAGATTTCCATTCCTTTTCTTTTCATTCTTGGTAGTCATAAGAGCCCTCAAATTTTGAACTCAGTCAGTGCAATTTTGAGGGAACCTAATTGTTCAGAACTTGGGAGGTCTGTTCAGTGTCTGTCCATGCCCACTCTGCCATTTCTAGGCCTTGTCTGAAATTTGTCTAGGTTCTAGGAGGACAACAATGTTTCTGTCTATACAGGTTTTTTAAAAATCACCTGGTGCTGATGCAAGTGGACAGGTTTCTCTGACCAGTTAACTGGTTTTCTTGAGCTCTGATGAATAATGTTGTAGGTTTCCTAGCCTTCAGTTCAGACTTTTATGCCTAATTAAATCTAGGCAAGGTAAGAGAGTTGTATCAGTTTTGGAACCTAGTTCATTCATTTGTTCCTCCCTCCCTTCCTCCCTCTCTTCCTTCCTTCCTTCCTTCCTTCCCTTCCTTCTCACCCAGTCCCCATTTTAAGCAAGCTGGCTGAGAACTCTGTGTCCTCTACTTCAAAGGGCCAGTTGTCTTATTTTGATGTGGGCAGATTGAGAAGTAGGCTTTGAAAAGTAGGCGCTTTTTTTTGTTTAATCTTTTCTCCTGGGATAGCTTTCAGAGCAATATATCCAAGTGTCAGTGAGGGGGTTCTGACGAGCACGGATTCCCAGACTCTCAGCAGGATCATTCTCTAACAGAAATATAAAAGTGAAATATTAAAGACCCTGGAACGTGAACTCCATCTGCAGAGTAGCCAGTGTCTTGCCTGCTTGCACCATGGGAAAAAAAAATCTTGAAAAAAGAAGGAGGAGAAAAGAAGTGCTTTGAGTAAGAGGTTTACAGGTTTAGTAGAGCATAGTAACATCCCCTCAAAGAAGTGGGTGTTGCTCTGTGACCCCCCAAAACGTTCCTCCTTTGACTCAGCCGCCAGAACACTCACCCTCCCTGGGCAACACACCTCCTTTTCACATGCTAACTGAGGCACCCCGATTGGCTGAACAATAAACTGGTCACACTTGCTAAAGGGCTGCGGTCTTTCACACAATTAGCCAAGACACATTAATCAAGCTGGC